CTGGGGGGCAAGACCCAGAGATGCCCGCGTCGTAGAAGAACCAATCAGGACGGGAAGTCTTTCAACGTTCTCGGCCTCTCGGGGCTCTCGACGGACCCCAGAACCGTCAAGGAACGACTCGAGATGAAAAACCCGTCCTGAGGGAAGGATCGGGACTTCCGGGGGCCGCGTGCTGAACAAAAACAAGAAGTCGCATGTCTGGGGAGTGAGAGAGAGAGAGAGAAAGAGAGAGAGAAAGAGAGCACAAACAAATGAACCAGAGAGAGAAGCGAGAGAGAGATAGAGAGAGAGAGAGAGCAAGAGAGAACAAACATAGGGAGAGGGAGAGAGACAAAGACAATGACGGAGGCAGATAAGCAAACAATGGCAGTGGCAGAAGCAGAGACAAGAGGGGCATCGCAAAAGAAATCGCAGGTCGCTCGCCTGTATCCGCCGACGTTGCTGAGACGGCGGCTCCTTTTGAAACGGCTTGGACGATCCTATGATGCCCGTCGGGACTGGGACTCGCGGCACAACAGAACGCAGCGACCAAAAAGTATGAAGAGACGAGAAGTACGAGGAAGAGGGGACGAAGACAGAGGACAAGTAAAGGGAGGAGGAGGAGTGGGAAGAGAAGTCAAGAGCAAGAAGACGAAGGTGGATAGAAGGGAGAGGAGCAGGAAAAGGGCGACGACGGTGAGGACGAGGAGCAGGGGCAGGATGGAGGGGGAGTGGGGGAAGACGATAGGATGAGAAACCCAGCGTTCAACTGTTCAAGCTTGTCTGGGGCCTCCGCGTCGATATGCAAGGGGGGGGGGGAAGGGGATGGAAGCAGAACGGAGCCTGGGAGCCAATAGTCAGCCGCCTTCTCAAGCTTGTGCCAATTACCCCAGCCTTGAGGCATCCTCCCTGGCTAAACCGTGACGCAACATTTCTCCAGCCGTGTCCATATTGCAAGAAGCTTGCGAGCTTGTGCAGTGGGCCAGGGATAAGGCAGGACACTCCCAAGGCGCAAGACCACTCCTCTCGGACACGGCACGGTAAGCACCACGGGCAAACAAACGGAGCACCCTCTGCCTGCTCGTCGGTACACTTCTCTGGAGGTAATCGCTTGCCTCCTCGCACTGCCGTGCCGTGCTGTTGGCCGCCCGGTCGACATGGACGTCGTGGTTCCCTCGGCGCCACTCCGCCGATGTCCTGGGCAGCAACCTCGGCGATGGCATAGGGTGCAGCGTCCTGCCTGGCACGGCAAGCGCGCACGGTCCACGTCGTACGCGGAGTCGGAAGCACAGTCAACCCGCAGAGTAAGGATGCGCGATAAGGGTGCAAGGCCCTTGGACGCCCATCTCGAAGCGTTTCGAGCGGGGCGCGGCCAACGAAAGTGTCCAAGGATGGACCCAGGAAGCAAGGATGCAAGGGTACCCTTGGGAGGGATGCCTATCCTTCCTCTGCGGGTCGACTGCAAGGGTCCGAGTCAAACTGCCGTGGGAAGCCGTGCATCTGAATGCAAGCATGCAGGGGTACGCCCTGGCCCTCGCTTCACCAAAGAACACTGAGCCACTCGCTGCCTGGCGCGGCTCCAGCTGCGGGCCGGTGTGCAAAGCAGGCCAGTCGGTGGCTTCTCGGTAGAACAGACAGCGGAAGCAGCAAGACGTTCGGAGCACACTGAAGGCAAGCATCTCACCGAAAGCAAGCACCTGAAAGCGCATACGTCTGACAGCGAAGGCCTCACCGAAAGCACACAAGGCGCTGCTCGTTGGCGGCGCTCCCAGAATTCGGTGGTAGCGGGAGTGGGGGGGGGGAGGAGGCAGAGAAGAAGGAAGAGGCGGAGGATGAGGAGGAGAAAGGAGGAGAAAGGAAAGAGGAGGAGGAGGAGGAGAGGAGGAGGAGGAGGAGGAGGAGGAGGAGCGGGAGGACATAGAGGAAGAGGAAGACGACGAAGCATCAGGTGAGGAGGAAGGATCGCCGAACCAATCACGGGAGGAGGCGGAGGAGGAGCCGGGAGCAGCAGGAGCGGCCGCAGGGGAGCGGCAGCTCCCCTTCTGGGGATGCCACGGCGACGACGCGCTTTCATCCCTGCGCCCGCGCCCTGCGCTCGCAGCCGGGGCCGCGGCGGCGGGCTTGGGCTGGGGATACGTCGGCTGCATGTCGCCAGGGCGGGGGTTTTGCCATTAGCCGAAGGGCTTCGCGCGCGCGAACGCTCCTTGACACCTTGCTTGGCAGCGGCGGCAGCAGCTCACGAGACCGAAAGGAGGGGAGGGAGGAGGGAGGGGGACAGGGAGGAGGCCTGAATAGATGAGCGAGGAGGAGGAGGAGGGGGGGGGGGGAGGGAGGGGGAGGGAGGGGAGGGAGGAGGGAGCAAGGGACAGGAGGAGGGAGGGGGACAGGGAGGAGGCCTGAAGAGATGGAGACGGCTACGGGCGGGGCGCCGGGCAACTTCCTCCGCGTAGCGCATCCAGACCACCTGGCGGGCTGGTCCCATCGGCGGCTGGGCTGGTCGAGGCCTGCCCCCTCTTCCCGCTCCTGATCATGCTCTTCCTCCTCCAGCTTCACACCCTCCTCACTCTACGACTCCACATCCTCCCCCCTCCTCTTTCCCATGCCTCTCCTCCATTATCATTCCTCTTTCATCCTCCTCCTCCTCCTACTTCCTATCCTGTTCCTCCCCTCATCCTCCTCAGCCTCCTCCTCCTCCTCCTCCTCCTCCTCCTCCTCCTCCTCCTCCTCCTCCTCCTCCTCCTCCTCCTCCACCTCTTTCTCTTACTCGCCCTCCTCCTCCTCCACTTATTTCTGCGACTGCCCGCTCCACCGCATCCCCCCATCCTCACCATCACGCCTACGTTCTGGGGGAAGGGGAACTCTTCGACAAAGCCCAGGAGGTTGATGATGAGATAGGGTGAGGAGGAAGGTGGTGGTGGTGCTGCTCGGTTGGGGGCCATCAGTCTGTCATCTCTCAACTGATCGGCAGCCCCTCCGTTACATATGGAGGCTGGGCCGCCTGCAGGTGCAGCAGGCCGCCACGGCAAGAGGCGACGCGGCGGTGCAAGGACCGCGCACGATGCCCCGTCGGCGGGGAAGATCCCTCGGGGTATGAAAAAGGAGGTTGGCCGCGGAGGCTCGGGGCCATCCCTAGCTCAGCTAGGGGATGCCCTGGGCCTGAGCCGTCTCCCCCCTATAGTTCAGCAAACGGGAGCGGCGCCTGCTACCTCTCTATGGAGGCGCGCCGTTGCCGCCAGGGGCGGCATCATGTCTAATATTGTGAGGCTGAAGTAAATTGCGCAGCTCGCTGCGATATTCTCTTACCTGATGCAAACGCCTCGTCGCATGTTCGCTGCCACCTGCTGCCAAACTCCTGAGTATCTGCTGTCGCCTCGGGTCGTGAGCAATGTCTATCACGACCTGGTTGCACCTACGCATTACTACTGGTTCTTCGTCAGGGTGCCCTGTTTCACTAGCTGCTTCAGCTGCGCCTCCACCACCCTCTCCAGCTCTGTTTTCGGCCCTGCCCCCATCGGCATCGTGCTTTCTGCAGGAACCACGCGTGGTTCAGGGCCTCTCGAAGGAGCGCTGGGTGAAATTGGCGTACCTGAGCCACGGCCTCTGGCGTTGCCTGGCCGAGCCTGAGCGCCGTATTGAAGTCCACCAGCGGCCTGATTCCGAACATGGCTCCTCCATGTCGCTCTCGCGCTGGCAGGAACTCTTGATCCTGAACGTGCTGAACGTCGCGTCCACGAGCCTTTGCCCGTGCTCCCCGTTGGCCATGCCCTCCCACTCCGTGAGGATGGCCTTGCTCTCCGCCTGCAGCTTGTCCCCCTGGTCGAGCACCTCCACCGCCTATTCCACCACCGACAGTGCGATGTGCACGTGCGGGGGCCCTTGTCCGCGCCCGCGGCACATCTTCTTCACCGTGTTGTTGTAGTCTTGGCTTGTGTCGGCCCCAGCGGTGACCATGCTCGACGATCCTGGGACCAGCCAGAAGTCGAAGATCCCGTTGATCAGGTTTCTGTTCTCCTGGCTGTTGCGCAGCACCAACTTCTGTACCGTCACCAAGGCCTCCCGTATATCTACGTTCTCGCCGTCTCTCGCCTTGCCGCCCTTGCCGCGCGACAACTCCTGCCTGGCCTCCTTCTTGTCCCGCTCTTCGCCAGGACCGTCTCCTGCCTGCCTTTTCACTCTCCACGCCATCCTCGTCCCCGCTATCTGGTGCAAATGATTCGACGACCGAATGTGGACCTGGCAGATGCTGGCGAACGTGCCCCTGAAAACTCTCAAAGTGTTGGGCCGAGAAGGAACAGACGCTACAGTCCATGACTTCGGGGATCTGAAGTTCGTGGCCCCACTTCGACTGATCTATGAAGCACTTGCCGAATCTCAGGGCGGCCCTTCTGCCATGGTCCAGCGCACCTGCTCTATTCACGGAGGAGGGAGGAAGACGAGGAGGAGCAGCAGGAGGAGGAAGAGGAGGAGGGAGGAGGTAGAGGACGAGGATGGGGTAGAGAAGGGAAGGGAGTACATAGTGAAACGAGGAGGAGGAGGAGGAGGAAGTAAGGAAGGGAGGAGGAGGAGGAGAGAGGGACAGAGGGAGGAAGGACGGAGGGAGGAGGAAGGAGAAGGGTGAAGGAAGGATGACTAGCTGCCCGGGAGCTTAAAGCGCATCCCCTGTTGGCGGTGGGGGGTGCTAGAGTGGTCGCCAGGCCCCTCCGCCTGCTCCAGATTACGTCCGCCCATACTCACCCCCAGAGGAGGAGGAGGAGGAGGAGGAGGAGGAGATTGACGATCAACCACGTGATGGAAACAAATATCGTGTCCCATCCCTCGTTGCTCGACACCTGCCGTGCGGGAGCAGAAACTCGAACACCATGCTTCCCATCACGACCCTCCTCCTCGTCCTTTCCTCCTCCTCCAGCTACTACGACTACTACTACTACTACTACCACTACCCTTACTACTACTACTACTACTACTACTACTACTACTACTACTACTACTACTACTACTACTACTACTACTACTACTACTAC